GTGTAGATAAAAGAGTGCACTTTAATTTAATATAAGTTTCATTAAAATCTATTTGCAAAAAGTATAAAAAATATTTGCCAAAATTTTTCAAAGAAATTGCAAAGATGCACAACTTACAGCAGTGCATTCTTTGCCATTTTATGAACCTTTGCAGATTGATTTATAACTCAAATTTGTATTTTACGTGTAGATAAAAGAGTGCACTTTAATTTAATATAAGTTTCATTAAAATCTATTCGCAAAAAGTATAAAAAATATTTGCCAAAACTTTTCAAAGAAATTGCAAAGATGCACAACTTACAGCAGTGCATTCTTTGCCATTTTATGAACCTTTGCAGATTGATTTATAACTCAAATTTGTACTCTACGTGTAGATAAAAGAGTACACTTTAATTTAATATAAGTTTCATTAAAATCGATTTGCAAAAAGTATAAAAAATATTTGCCGAAACTTTTCAAAATAATTGCAAAGATGCACAATTTACAGCATTGTATTCTCTGACATTTTTTGAACCTTTGCAGATTAATTTATAACTCGATATGGTATTCTACGCGTAGCTAAAAGTGTGCACTTTAATTTAATATAAAAATCATTAAAGTTTATTCACTTTTAGTATAAAAAATATTTGCCGAAACTTTTCAAAAAAATTGCGAAGATGCAGAATTTACAGCATTACATTCTCTTACATTTCCTAAACTTTGCATGTTAAATTTATAACTCAAAAAAGTATTCTACGCATAGACAACAGAGTATACTTTAATTTAATATAAGTTTAATTAAAATCTAATTACTTTTAGTATAAAAAATATTGACCAAAACTTTTCAAAGAAATTGCAAAGATGCACAATTTACAGCATTGCATTCTCTGACATTTTTTGAAATTTACATGCTAAATTTATAACTCAAAAAAGTATTCTACGCGTAGGCAAAAGAGTGTACTTTAATTTAATATATGATTTATTAAAAATTATACACTCTAAGTATAAAAAATATTTATCAAAACTTTTCAACTTCTTTGGAAGGTTCTTTGCATTGATGAGAATGCCGAGAAATTACTAACAATAACTGAATTCCGGCTATAACGGTAACATATATATATATATAATTAAAATATATACCAGGCCTGTTCCAGGACCAAGGACGATTTCCCGAAGGTACAATTTGTTCCGGCAAAGGTACACCATTTAAGAAAGGCCTGATCGGTCTTTCCGGTGGTAATTGATTAACCAAAGGCCTATCAAGACTTGGTGGTTTATCAAACGGATAAGGTGTATCAGGTGGAGGTGGAGGATTCATTCCAGGTGTATCAAAATCCGGTGGCAAAGGTGGAACATCAGAAATTCTTGGTGGTCCCCTATTGTTGATCCTAAAATATCAAATTAGTTATACGTGTGTGTACGATGAGTTTTATCCATATATCCTTATAAAATTACTAACCTCGTAGCTTGGATTGGTCTCAAAGGTCTTACAGTATTAGCAGCAACATTGACGTTGCCGTTCAACAGTTTAACTATACCCGTAATGATGTCCTGAATATCAGGATTGGCTTGTCTACCAGGCAAGGCAGTTTGTAGAATAGGCGGTGGTGCATGTTCGCTATAAATCTTCTCTTGTCTTGGTTGTCTTGCTTGGTCTATTCCTTGCAAATAGTGTACTGGTTGGTCTTGGATTCCAACCGGCAGCTGATGGGGCTCCGTCAAGAGAATCTGTCGTCCCTGCGGAGCCCCCTGTCCTTCCCCCGAAATCGAACGACTTGTCGTTGGTATTATATTTCTAAAAATAAATTTCAATTGGGATTTTTTAACATATGATACACATTATATTATCCTTATTATTATCACTCATAAATGTTTTATCTACGTAACATGAAATAACGATCATTACCGATAATATTCTCCAGATTTAACTTCGATGTTATTACCGTCTATGTGATCGACGTGTTTAGAAGAAGTTAATTGATCGATAGATTCATCAAGATAAGATTCTCCCAAATCATTTTTATTATCGTAACTATAAACACTCTTAGAAGTTTCCAATCGAAATGCTGGTGAGGTTCGTTGAAATGTCAAAGATTCTTCTATACGATCTAAACCCAAAGTGGTCCTTTGAGGGGTCTTGTACGAGCTTGCGCTTAATACCAGATCATCTTGCAACGATTTTGATGATGTTCGATCGTTTTTTATTGCCAAGGTTGCTGAAAAGTATCAATAAGATATCATTCCTAGGTAATTAATGTGATAACGGAAATGTGTAAGCTAGTCAGGACACCAAACAAGAGAAAACCTGATCCCCCTGTCCCCCCCCCCCCATATATTTCTTTCCGTCAAAGGGCAAACGTGGACGAGAATCAATCTAAAAGTGGTGGTGATGGTGGTGGGAGCAAAAAATCGATGAGATCGAGGAACGATTACCGAAACGAACGGTACTCGAGCGGTTGACATTCTCGAGGCTGGTGTATCGAACTCTTCGAACTACCGCTTTGACGTTCTGACGTCTTTGAAAGTACGATTACTCTGGATTCTTTCCTCTTTCTCTCTACTTCTTACTTTTTTCCTTTTTACTTAAACCCTTTTACGGTTCATTCGTACGTTCATTGGTTCATTTTTACAACAATGCATATACTATATCAAAAACATGTCGGTCGAGTACATATTGTATAGTATAATTTATAATATATACTTTTTTTTATGAAATTTTCATTAGTTTTATTATTTTAATTAGAAAAAAAGAAAAAGAAATATTATTCAATTATTTTGATTGATTATACATTTAGTATTAGGTATATAAAGTCATCCTATTATTGCATTTTTAGTAATTAAATATATGAAAATAATGTGTTGAGGTTAGGAAATTTTCTAAATATGACTGAGTCGATAAAATATCGGTCAAGTTAACTAAAATCATTTACAGATAGTTATTTTATCGACAATTATACTTATTCGATCTTTCTGTATAATATTTAATCCAATTAATAATCAATAAATAAAATGATCTATTTCAATTAACTTCCTATATATATATGAAATAAATTTTACAAAGAAACTCATAACTGCAATCCGCGTGGAAAGTGTGAATATAAGGATAAGAAATTTAGAGAACAAGCCTCTCTCATCATTTTTCTTAAGTTCTCTATTCCATTCCATTCAACGAAGCGCAACGCAATTTAAGTGAAACTAAAACTTTGCTATAGGATCCGTTGCACATACGTATACAAAGGATATGGTTGTATATCGCATGCATATATTGCGATCTTGTCGATAACATCCAATCCTCGACCTAAATTCCACCTTTGAATCTATTTAATCCATTCAACCCCGTTTAATTAACCGTTTCTATGATACACCTTGCCAACAAATTTGTATTTTGTTTTTTTTTTATACAAAGATAAAGATATATTATAGAATGAATGAAATAACGAGATTAGGAAATAAATATTAATTGAATAAAAATTTTAATCTGACGAGAAATCAAACAAAATCACGAACCGTTCGTTTCTTTTTCAGTTCTGATTCCTTCAGAGGTTAGATTGTGTTACAATCTATCTCTAATTGGTCATTAAGATCCAATCATAATCCACGAATTAAACTTACTGTATATCATCCCGTTTTGTTTTTTTTTTATTAAAAAATATTATATAACTATTTAATATTTCAATGAAATAATGAAATATTTTTTTCTTTTCTGTCACAAATGTATAAAATTGATATTCCTCTATCTAATTAAAATTTGACTTCATTATAATATTAAGTGTAACACACCGAGAAATGTAACGGTTACCTACGTAGAGTATTAAACATTCTTTCTATGTTTCTTTAAGATATATATATAGTAGAACCGTGAGAATGTTAAGCAAATTGCAAAGCAGACTTGTCTTCTTGTATCTTCATAGAACTGCATTCCATTATCTAGTACTTCAAACTTTACGTAATAGATACCTGCATGCAAACCTAATTTACAGATATACTATAATATACTCGATAATTATTACATTCATTATGTTGTTAATCTCGTTAAAATCCTACTATAAATATAACAAATAATATTACTCTCATGTTTAATTATAAAAATTAAATAAAAATTTATAAACTTATTTTATATTTGATAATTATTACATTCATTATGTTGTTAATCTCGTTAAAATCCTACTATAAATATAACAAATATGTTAGATTATAAAAATATAATGAAAATTTATAAATTTATTTTATACTCGATAATTATTACATTCATTATGTTGTTAATCTCGTTAAAATCCTACTATAAATATAACAAATAATATTACTCT